TTTTTCATGGTCCATCCCACAAGAGAAAGTTTGTGAAAAATTAAAAGCAAAGGACGCCCAGATTTGTGAGCTCAAGTATGGTGAGTGTTTTAGCAATTAGTCAATGTAGTTGATTAATCTTAAGCAGCGAAAGACACTGGCGCGCTCCAAAGCGCATTCATAGTCGGTCACTCGATCGTAACGATCGCACAGCCTTGGATACGTAATGAACGCACGGCAATGGATGCGTACTGATCGTCGTTTCCCTGAGGATTGAACGACCGATACCTATGTAACGCTGTGTGGTCGTTACGGTCGTTACCACTTTGAATTCGCCTTAACGTGAGGTGATCATGTGACGCGACCACATTGCTATTGGGTCGCGTGGCCTGTAATTGTCACCTAGGCGCTGCCCACATCTCGCCAGATAACTCGTCCGGATCCGTGATTAATCGGTTTACAACGGAGCACGGTAGGGTAGACTGAATTGCAGACACCTCCAAGTCCCGCCAGAAGTCCAGTTCTTGGCTCTTCTTCCGGCTTCTTTCCTATTTCGCTCTGCACATTTCAACTGTTGGAATGAGTGTGAAGACTCTCCGAAATATTTCACGATAGTTTTGGGGTTGTGATACATTGCACTTCACAGCAATTTGCAGTGCATGATAACATCCTATACCAGGTAAGTACTGTTCAATCTATTAAGTTAGAGAACAGTTCCTGGAAAATCCATTGCCTCCGACTGCACCAAACGGTTCTTGAGATTTGATTCGGTTCTTCTTTTTCTTGTTATTTTGCCACAGCTTGTGGTCCCATTTCACTAAATGGTTCTGTATTCAACGAGATTCTAGAGTTGGTGTTTCCCAATCGGTTTTTCCTTTGACTTACCTTCATAGTATTTGTCTGTTTATTTGAAATCCGGTGCTATTTTCTCAAACTCAGCTCCCTTTGACTTTTTTAGTGAGTTGCAATCCTAGAATGACATTCCTCAGTAATTACTGCTAGAGGGGACTATGAAATGTGCGATGTTGCATTCAGTGTGCCTGTAGGAGCCACAAGGAGATTGGGACGAGACGTGCCGTTGGCAAAGCAGAGGTGAATCAGGTTCAGTATTAACAAAACAAGGGAGTACCACAGGAGGCAATTTTAGTCCCCTATCAGCTGATTTTACCCTCTACGTCGTGGAATACAATTATGCATAATGACCATAGAGTATTCATTCCATTCATATATGGATGACTTTCTAGTGATACGTAACCAAACGAAAGTGACATTGACATTCAACTAGCAGAAGCGTATATGAACACATTTTAATTGAAGGAAACACGTCTAAGTGAAACATCCAGTAATTATGTGAATCAAACAATAGGCATAATAAATGATAGTTATAACTAGATTGTAAACAAAACAGATGATTTTCATGTTTTTAGATTTCCACATAATGACACAAATATATTCATAAATAATAAAGGCTACGTTATATACACTGAAACACTTAGATAGCTAGGACTTGTTCCGTATTTGGCACATTTACTGATGAACTAACAGAGTCCATAAAAGTTTTACTAGGAAAGGCTATCATGAGGACTTAATTATATCCCAAATAGTTAAGTGCATTTATAATATAAGTTTACGTGTTACGAATTCTCATTGGCTAGGAATTATAAAAATGTTGATAAGCTAGTGAAAGGAATACTCATTCTTTGAATTATTACCTAGTTAAGTGGACAATCACGATCATTTTACCATTTATTCATATTCACTCTAATCAATATGCAATTACTTTTATTGGCATGCTCCTCTGCATGATAAATTTGTGCGTCAGATCAGATTTATTCGTCTTTTTCTGTGTCTTTACTTCGGTAATCCCAACTCACTAATAAGCTTCGGAGATTGATAATAGTTCACACATATCACAAATCTTTATATAGGTAAGTGGTTTCGTTAGTGAAAGTTAGTTTTTCTAAAATTAGCGGCTGCCGTGCAGATCGGCAAACTACTTTGATTGTTTCAATTATAAAGGTTTTCAATTCTTAATTACAAATCCACAGAATCCTACTAATTAAAACGCTTCGTCTGTCGTCGTCGTCTGTCGTCTGTCTGATTTTCTGTCACAAATTCCTAGCTCTCGGGATCCGCCTGAGGACCGTCATATTGTGAATGTGCAAGGCTCTCACGAAATTAACAATACATCACTAAGCGGAGACCCCGCCCACAGAGGGCGTGGCGTGCGTCGAAATGAACTGTAACCACACCGAAGTTTCAATTTCAAGTGAACAAAACACCTCAGAAACTGGGCCAAAACAGTGTCCAAAGAAACGTCATTGGGTAACTAACAATCCGAACTATGGCGCACCACCCCCGGGGCGGGGCGTCTTACACAGCGCCTTATATAAAAAAATATTCCATAACATCTAGTGTGGAAAAGCCTACAGGAGCAAAAAACAATTTTGTAAGGAGCAATGTTTAGGGTGTTCCTGCATAAACATGACGTGGGCGCACTGCCCAGAATGGCTGGGGCGCGCTCTGAAGGACAGCCAATTTTCTACAATGCCTCAATAATTTACAGCTCGGAACTCCTAAAGACGGAAAAAGGGATATAGGTGGTGAGCCAGAGGATTTGACTTCACACGTGGCGGACATGAGCAACAGTTGCGTGGAGTTGCAAGCGGAAATTCATAACTCTGTCCAATAGTCCCGGAAAACGGGAAAAAAGTGAAGATGTTTGAAAGTGGACTAAACGTCATTGGTGGCGCGGCCTGCCAAGTGGGCGGATTTTGCGAGACTAAAATTTATTAACTCGGCTCCAATGAAGCCTACGGAGGCTGGGGAAAAGAGGTATGGAGTGTTGGGGGATGAGCCAACTTCATTGGTCGGGGCCTACCAATAGTGGGCGAAGTCTGCGACAAAGTTTTATAAAAAACTCGCTCATCGACAGCTAACGTGGGTAGACTGGAGGAACCAGTAGAGTATGGAGTGTTGGGGGACGATGGAGTCCGGCCAATGGATGGGCGGCACGAGAAAGTGCGGAATTATGCGACGATAAATCATTAGCTCGCTCCAAGAATCCCAGAGGCTGGAAAAAGTATAGGTCGGCCGCAGGAAAGAGTTCCATTCTCTTATGGTAAGCACGCACGGTCTACGTGCGAAGTTTTTGCCAAAAGAGTGTCGCAATTCGTTCGTCTTGCAAAGGTCCTTAGAATACTGGTAAATACGGTTTTAAGTTTTGTGGATTATAGAGCTCAAACTGCTTATTACGTCTGTAGATTAGCATTCGCACCTTATTGGCGGAAGTTTGCCATTATATTTTTTCTTAAATTTGTCCCGGAGAGTCCCATTTGACTACGCGTGAAATTTAAAGTGGTAGAGTCGGTCCAAAAATTAAGGTGTAAATATCTTCATTTGGTGGGCAGCGGCACGCACCACGCCGAAGTAAACGTGGAATTCGCGCACGAGATTATATTGTCCGGTTACCAGACAGAGGCGAGAGAAAAAAAGAGATAATGTATGGACCAGAAGAAAAGCGAAAAGAATTAAGCGGGAAGATTTGTAGATATCGATTGTATCAACAAAATTCTTGAAAATTTTCGTCGCACCAACCAACAAATTCGCCACACAGATCTGTGTTGCGCGCGCAATGCGTGCGGCGCCAACTGGTCGGAATATAAGGCTCATTAGCAAGTGATGATACACAATTAAATCGTTTAGGGAAGTCCAATCAGATCAAAAGTGTTCGAGGCCACCTATAGTCTCAAACACTTTTGAGGTCTACTCCAAAAAGGGCATGTGTCGCGGTTTTTTGACCGTGTACAATAATGCCAATTTTGCAGGGAGACCGTTCAGGGCGTGAGTCATTTGCCTTTATTTTCACACCCAACTTGGAGTTCCTTACTCTGAAAAATCGGAATCACTGCAGGCGGCATAAACATCGCAGCACTTGTGCTTCATGATTGGAACATACCCAATTTTCTAATTTTTCTCTCTAAGTTGCTCGTTTTTTCGGATGTGATTTATTTATAAAAATGTAACTTCAGTAGGTCGGCAAATCATCACCATAACCCCTTGGCGTCCGATACTCTGTTGTGCGCATGAAATGCACACCTACACGGAACTTTACGACATAGATTGTGACGCAACATCATGCAATATCCCTTTGCTTGAGAAAAATGCTTCCTTAGAGGCGATAGTGATGCAGTGCAGTTACAGATATCAAGGCAAAAGACATCTCGGAAGATTCTAAATCTGGTATAGTTGTTTTAATGTGCGACAACGTTTAAAAAAAGGTTGACAGTGCTTCCTAGCTGTAGTATCCCTTACACTGCGTATGCAATTTTGTCCAATTTACGGTGCAGTCATCTACAGCGGAGCCTCGCTCAAAAACTAGCGCATCATTTTCACTTTTTACATCGTAGCATTTCTTTGCTCTGTTTCGAAATAAGGTGCTGGAGCTTTTACGAATTCCATGTGTAGAAATTTTTTGAACGATTCAGTTTCCTTTCCATAGCAGGAGCCATCGCCTGATCTGTTCGGGGTTTCGTAGGTATTCACACAACGGTTCTTCATGCAGGCCGCAGCTTTATGTCGCAGCAGTTCATGCCACTGGATGTGCATTCACGTGTGCTGTGTCGGTGCGATTACAATGGATAAGCTCAGCCATCTTCATACTCTGACACGGCGTTCACTCATGATTGCATGCTTCACGTTGTCCCAGAAACAAAGAACCCATACAGCCAACAAACCTCCCCCTCCCCTAGTCCTCTATAGGACTGAGCCTTAGGGTCTAGGAAAAGAAGTGTGTGAGTAATTTCAATCTCCATAAAATGCCTTCCCTCCTTCTAGGCTCAGTCCCTGTATGGTCATCCAACGTCAAAGGCCCATCTGAATACAAGTTCAGAAATTGACCATACAAATAAAATGATCTCTGCTATGACACAATGCTACCGAAAACAGTGATGCAGTGCAGTGATCACCTTCTGTTCCCCTTTTCATTTTCTCCAGCAATTTCCTGTTTTGATGTGATGAGTTCAGCGCGATGTTCTTTGATGAAGGTTCGCGGTCCCGAAATTCGACGTTTGACGTCAATTGCACTGTGGCGTGCATTTCATGTGCACACTCAGTTTATCT